ACCCCGCGCTCGCTGCCCCGCGGTGCCCGCACGGTACCGAGCAGAGCAGGCCCGGTCACACACCGGGGTTGGATGCTGCTCGTGGTGCTCCCGTGGGAGCCCCGGGGCTGCTCCGCCGGGGAACACCGGCCTCCGCAAGGCGCTGCTGGGAGGGAGGCGCTGGGTGCCTTTGCAGCACGGGTTCTGCGTTATCTTTTTTTTCCCTTATTAAACTTTATCTCACCCCAGGCATTTTCTTCTCCTCATGTTTGGTGTTGCAGTTCGCTCCCGCCGTGCCCCTGGGGATAAGGGAGGAGGCGCCTTCTTTCAGGACTGGGTCAACCCGCCACGACGGTGAAGAACCCAGCAATTAACAGCCATGTAAAATGGAAAAATGTGAGAGCAATTTGGAGAGTTAAATGCTGATTTATTCTAAAAGAGAAACATAATTAAAATTTCTCTGCAGTCAAGAAGAAACTCTATTAATGAAATCTCATCTTCAGTTGTGGAGCTGGGTTTCGGAAGAGCTTACTCATAATGGTACTAACAAAGCCTCTGATAGACCAGATGATTAATTTATTAAACCTGGTTTCAGGTTTTGCCTGCTGGCCTGTCATGTAGTCTGGTACAAGTTTTGTTCTTGAGGACCAGTTCATGTAAGTTACATATTTAATTAGTGCAATAATGATTGGGTCTCAGTTAATTGTATAATTGTGACCTCTTAGGTTTCTGCATCAGCAGCCTTCATGAATTCTGCTTTTTTCATTTTGAATTCATTTTGCTCTGCTTTGTGTACAACTGTAGGATTAAGCATTTTGCCACCAGCTCTATAAGGTTTCTCATGTAAAACCCTGGATGTGATTGTCCACTGAAGAGGAACTGCAAACAAAGCTCTGGGGGCTGCACCTGCTCACGGCCAGGCTGTGGACTGTCACACCATAACCTGTAAGAAATGAGATGCAATATTCTTACAAGCAGGTCGTGTAGAGCAGAAACTTTTTTTTTTTTTGGTGGTTTCTTAGAGTGACTAAAGGACTGCTTTGCTCTCAAAGTAGGATGGAAGAGATGTGTTCAGAAGAGACCTGTTCAGAAGAAGGCACACACTTTGTATGGGGAAATTTTCTTTTTTAATTTACAGCAGAAAGAATATAAAGCATTCAGAAAACATTTTCCATATTTTAAGGGCAATTCAAAACATTTTGCATGGTTCCAGCAGCTGAGTTCTTCAACAGATCCATTGATTCAGTGATGCTTTACATGCACAGTTACAAAAATAAAACTTACAAAAGAGAAGACATCTATACTAGTTTTACATGCAAGTCTTGGGGACCCCCCATTGGGCACCAGCTATTGTGTGGAACTGCCATAAGCGTGCAACCAGAGAGGGGGTTCATGTTATATTCTGTATTTCTTTCACACAGTATTACTGCTGTCGAATGTGTTTCACAAAGGAGCGATTCTATTATCAGAAGACAGAAGATCTGGCTCCTGGCACTTGGGAATTTGAATTTTCCTAGAAAGCTGCACTGACTTATCTTAGGTGAAAATGTTAAGTTCCACAACCAAGAAGAGGGTTCGAAGAATCACTTCACTGCGAGGGAGTGCTCCTCCCTCCCCAGTGACACACTGAAGGGTTACGGCCCGACACAACAAAGCACTTGGGAGCTGAGCTGGCTTCAAGCATGCCAGGAGTCCTGGAGCTGTGCTGCAGAACTGCCTGCACGTTTAACAGCCAGCACAGGCTTAAACGTTTGGCTGAAGCAGGATCTAGATTAGTAGATACACCACCAGGCCCATGGATCTGGAAGAGTAATTTGAAATAGCTCTGTATATTACTGAATCGTTTTTCTGTAAAGACAAGGAGTTAAAACATTTCCACTGAGGTCACTACTCTTGTTAGGAACAGATCAATTCTATATTGTCACATATTGATTAATGGGTGCAGTATTTCAGTTTCAAAATGTCAAGAGTTCTTCCAGTACTAATACAGAGCATTTCCAATTCATTCCAAAGGAGATTCTTCAGCATCTCCTGTTCTGTTTTGGCGCAAGAGTAAAATTTAGCAGTTAAGGTTCCAATTGCAGACAGTAAATTGAGGCTATGAGGCTGCCCACAGGCACAGTGCGAGCGCCAGGCCATTTGTTTTGCTTTTTTTCCCTTTTTTTAAAATTGAATCAGGTCATAAAGCAGCAGTTCAGAAATGTACAAGAGAATTCTGATAATGAGCTATAGCACATCTACTGTAATTCAATGCTGGCAGTGAAAAGAAGTAATTAAAAACAGGTACAATTATAGAAAAGGCACCAAGAGCACTGACCCCAGTTTTTTTGCCACAATCTTTGTTTTTACTCTTCTTTTAAAGACACCAGTTTCAAAGCTTCCTATGTGTGAATATTTTTTGGCTTCACAACAAGCCTTGCGTTTAAACATTGCAGTTGGTGGCCGGGATCAAGCAAGAACAACTATTCCAAAACTAACAATCTCAAATTTACACAAGTTCATTCAGAAATTTTAAACTGCCACGAGTGAGACAAACAGACAGGAGCAGTTTCTGATCTCAGACACATGTACGTGACCCACAAGTAATGACACGGACTTCAGGAGTTTCTTCCCTTACATTCCTGTGTAATGAGGATCAGAACTGGTTCCCATTGTTGAGAATCTGTGACAGTTTTAAATTAGTAGTTCAATTTTAAAAAAATCTAATTTCTTTGGCTCCTCACTATGTGGAAATAGCAATATACCATGACACCCCTACAGGATCAGTTTGCATCTTTTTTTTTAATTTTTACTTAATTTTTTAAAATTTTTTGTGCAATTTTTATTACATTTTCTGACTTCCAGCAGGAGATATGAAAATGTGAAACATATTTTCTACTTTCGTACTATTTATTTATTTTTTTTCATTTTATGTTCATTCTAAGTGTTCTTTATTGGAGTGAGTGTATGGTGTTAAGCTAGATACGGTTTTTGTACTCTTATGATTATCTGCTTTGCAAAAGTAACTTAATTTTCTTAAGCAATATTAGCATTCACATTACTTGGCACCATTGGCAAAAAAAAAAAGAAAAAAAAAAAGACGGGGGTAAAAAAAAAAGAAGGAAGGAATACATAAATTAAACCCAACTGAACCAAACTCCTGGTAGCCAAAATCAAATGTAAACATATCCTTTTTTTCTTTTTTTTTTTTTTTTTTAAAGTAATGTTGCTCTGCCTTTTTTCCTAAGTCTAAATACAGTAGCTCTTTTTTGCCATTTAGTCATGCTTTAGCAAAAATGTTCTTCTAAAGAACATTTAAAATAAAGTTTCTTATAGTGAAATAAAGTTTTTGTTTCATTTTACAGACCATAGCCACTAATGCTTTGCTTTGTTCATTTCTTTTTCTTGAGTTCATGCACATATCTCTTTAATATATACAATATGTACAAACAATACATCCACACTCTTCTCGTTCATTCAGACAAAACTATACAAATAATAATTTTATCTTGCCAAGTTATTGACCCTTTGTGAATAAAATATTTAGTAATTAATCAATATATTCCCTTTCAAATATTTTTTTCTCATTTTCCATTTCTACCTTCTATATATACAGAAACTGCCCAGATTTTGATGAAGTAGCCAAAATAAGAAATTTACTGGCCAGAATGCAGCACCACTGATCTTTAGGTGGCATAAAATGTCCAGGCAACATATGTACGTGACTCTGCAAAATGACAAGAGGTTTGACAAGTACGTAAGAGAAAAAGCTACATGTTTTACAAATTATTTGAGAACTTAATTAAAACAATAGTACATGAAGGTAAGGCTAGAAAATAAAGTGCTGAATATGAGAGAAAGTACATGACAGTTGATATGTTTGCAGGTTCTAGTAAAATTACAAAAAAAAAAAGTGTAAAACTTGCTTAAGCTGCTCTCTCCATTCCTCATGCAATACCCGTGTCTCTCATACACCAAACCCCTCCTGTAAGTTCCCACGGGATGTATTAAAAACCTGCAGATTTAAAAAGTTGCATTAAGTGTGCTGTAGAGGTTTAAATAAAACACAAAGGACAGGAGTGCGAAGGAAATGAGGATGCATGGACCCAATAAAGATGTACTGATCTAAGCCCCTCCACTGAGACTCTCAAAGCTTCAGTTTCTTGGAGATGACTGACAGGTGCAGGAACAGCATTCTTGTGTTGCTTGTGCATTCCCACCTTTTCTGAACAATATTTTTGGTATAATATTTGTACAGTTCCACATGTTGTTTAATACAGCCCTATATGAAAAGGATAATTAATCGCTTCTTCCTTCCTTCTCGGAGAATGAAGCAACTCACGATTTCCTCCTGGTGTCTTGTTTTCCCCACGATCCAACAGAAGATTGAGTTCCAAGATGTCTTGCTGAACAAATTAAAAGTTGTCCATGAAAGTGCAAATGCAATGACCAAAACATTACTGTTAAAATCCTGCAGCTGGTATTTCCAGAACTGCAGTGGGTATTTTTGTTGTTGCATGTCTCTGCTAAAAACAGAAAATGAAAACAGTCTGAAAAGCAATGTCACATTGCTACGGGATGCTGCTGCGTATCTTCAAGTTCCTTGGCCTTTTTCAATTCTTTCACTCTGAAAAAATGAAGAGGAGCTATGTAACACTTCTATTACAAATCTCTTGAAGACAGAGCAATCAAAAGGATTCATCACTCCAACCTCCCGTGCAGAAGAGGCAGCTCCCAGAGACACGACAGGAGGGTAGCACCTTCCCAAACACCATAAACAGTTGGAAGCGCAAGAAGGGGCCACTGGAGATCCCAGACAAACGTTTGGAGAGACACACTTGGTTCCAGCTACTGCTTTTCCCCAGTACTGGCAACTACAGCTGGGCTTCGTTCTGGTGTCAGCCTGACTGTTTGGGGCTTCCTGGACTGCTGTTCCCCACCTGACCCTGCAGCTGCTTCCTACTGTCCCAGCAAAGGGGCTGCTCAGTGCTGACCCCTTTTCTCCACACAGTGCTGTGGCAGTGACAGCACAGTGGGGGAAAATTTGTCTGTCCAGCTTGGGAAGGAAGCCTGGTGTTGATAGAGAACCTCACATAATGAAGTGTTTATACACAAGCAGAAGAACCGGAATGGGTGTGAAGAAAGGTACTTTGTTTCACAAGTGCTCCAGCTGCTGTGCCTGTGTGTTTCATGCTGTTGGCAGTATGTCCCTGTGTTTTCCCAGCAGTGCAGGACTCTGTGTGCCACGGGAGATGAACCTACAGTGTGGAAGTCACTCTTCCTAGATGTGGCCTGATGCCCCACTTCTCAACTTTCTCAAATGCATGCTCTACAATACCTCCTCTAACTCACCAACACAAGAACTAAACCATCATTGAAAGCTGAAAAGGTTAAAAATTAAATTAAAGGATGAATAGAAGGGAGTAATTTTAATCCCATCCAGTGGAACAAAGCTCTGCACTAGAGCTGGGGCAGTAGGAAATCTGTTTAGGCTGAGAACCTGGTTCTGTGTCAGTGCAGGCTCTCTGCAAAGGAGCCAGACCAAATCCAGAGGCATTTCTGTGCTGCCCCAAAGCTGCCCAGCTGTGCTTGGGGCTAGCTCTGCCTCTGCTTGCAAGGAGTTTCTCTGCAGTGAGATCCTTTTGCCACCTGCCTCCACATGTCTTCCCTCTGCTCCTGCAAGGGGAAGCTCCCCTCAAAAGGAGCAGATTACAGGAAAAAAAAAAGAAAAAAAAAAAGGTGATTTAGCTAAGCGTGTATAGGCTCAAGTGCTCACATGATGTTGCAAAAACTTGAAAGGACAACTAACAAAGGTATAGTACAAAAAATAGTGTCAGGGATGCTAGTCTGTGTAATGCAACCAGCTACAAGTGAAAGAATTTAACAAAGCCCAAGTAAATAGAATTAAGAAAACATGTCAGGAGAGCTGAGCAGCAGCAGTGACAGTTTGCAGCTACTGTTCATAGACTTACACCCACAGATCTTTTGGCTCTTGCACCAGCCTGCTAATTTAAGGATATAATAAAGCTATAAATTGATCTCTGTATATACACCTCCATTTCACTGTTTTATTTATTCATTTTTCTGCATGTAGTACTAGTCAGAACCACAGTGAAACGTGAGCTGGCTGCTTTTACCTCTGTTTTAGCTGACTCAAAGGCTCTAGCACTCAAATGCACTCTCACTCTTTATGAAATGTGGCCAATAGGGGTCAAATCAGACTAACCTGTATGCAGGTTAGACCTTTGTTAATTATCCTAACTCCACTTTTGGAGAAGATCATGTATGGAAAGACAGAGGGCTCTTCTAGGACAAATGCACACACTGTGTTCAGAGTCTGAAGGCCACTGCTGGAGAGAAAGGCCCTGGCATTCCTGAAATGCGAGCCCAGCAGAGCAGCCCAGCAGGCTCTCCCAGGTGCCAAGCAGTGCTCTGGTCCCCAGGCTGAGGAAGGGACAGCCAACAGCACCAGGGGCTCTCAGTTCCTACTTGGACAGTGCTTGGACACTGCTACAACTTTACAGAAAAATCTCCTGCAGGAAGATTTTGGCTCTTTTAGCATTTTAGCTGGTGTCTAAAAGAGTCTGTTCACTTCAAGAGACTGGAGGCTTCAGCACTGCACAGAAGGCAGCAACAAGCCTCTACTCAGGCTGACAGCCTGTGTTCTAAGTTCCCTGGGGTTCTTCATGCTTGGTACAGCCAGATCCCCTTTTCATTGCAGGAAACATAGGAGGGCTGAAACAGTAAGCCAGAATAGTCACAAATGACAAGTTTCTCATCCCCAGCATAACTAGTTTTATTTTCTTGGAGCAGAGAAACAGCCTCTCCCTTGAATTTTCAACTAATGTAAGTAGTGCACCATTTAGAAGCAGGAGAGCCAGAATCCCTGGTGCTGTGCTAGAAAAGGTGGTGTGCCTCTGTGCAAAGGACAATTTTTAAGGCTCAGATCAGCTGTGTTTAAGATACCATCAATTAATGCATGATTTGCAGTGCAACTTCCAAGTGTTTTCTGTTGCACTTCAGTACTGTAATGTAAAATTAACCTGTTATTATAGATCTCTCACTGAGAACATGCACATTAAATAAGCTGGTGGCTCTTTCACTGAGACATGCTATTCCTTACTTTAGCACTTCACATGCAAGGGCTACACTAACAAAAAAGCACTTTTACTGGAAGAATGCAAGACATGCTTTGCTGCAAACTTCAACCTACAGCATGCAGTATCTGTACTGGTGCAGAACTATTGCATCTGTTTGCCTGGAACACACATGCCAACAGAAGTTAATTACTGCAGCACCCAGCATTTGCACTAAAACAGGTCCTGTTCAGAAACACAGAATCACAGTGTCATAGAATGTTAAGGGTTGGAAGGGAACTTAAAGATCATCTAGCCCCAGCTCCCCTGCCACAGGCAGGGACATCACCATCCCAGGTTGCTCAAGGCCATATCCATCCTGGCCTTGGACACTTCCAGGGATGGGGCAGCCACAGCTTCTCTGGGTAACTCATTCCAGTATCTCATAATCCTCACAGAAAAAAAATTATTCTTAGTATCTAACCTGAAGATCCCCGCTCTTTAAATTTGTATCAATTACTCTTCACCCTACCACTACAGTTGCAGATGAGGAATCCCTTTTCAGTTTCCCTGTAGCACCCTCCACATGACCTTTTCTTCTCCAGGCTCAGAAGATCTAACTTTCTCAGCCTTTGTAGGGGAGATGCTCCCATCCTCTTATCAACTTCATGGCATCCTTTGGACTTACTCCAACAGTTCCCTGTCCTTCTTATGCTGGGGAACACCAGAACTGTGTGCAGGACCCTGACAAGAGCAGGGTAGAGGGTGAGAATCCCCTCCTTCCCTGCTACACACACTCCTTTGGGTGGAGCCTAGGACACAATTGGTTTCTGGGCTTGGAGCACCCACTGCTCACTCATGGGGAGTTTTTCATCAACCATGATCCAAGTCTTTCTCCACAAGGCTGTTTCCAACCAGTTCTCCACCCAACCTGTCAACAGTGCATTCTACACCTGGGATTGCCCCAGCCCAGGTGTAGGACCTTGCTTTACTTTGTTGAACTTCTGAGGTTCACAGAGTCCCACCTCTCAGCCTGTCCAGGTCCTTCTGGATCCATCCCTTCCCTCCCATGTGTGGCTGCACCACACAGCTCAGTGGTGCCAGCAAACTCGCTGAGGGTGCCCTCGCCCCCACTGCCCACAGCACTGACAAAGATGGTGAGCAGTATCCACCCCACTACTGACCCCACTTGTCACTGGCCTCCATGTGGACCATGAACCACTGAGCACAGCTCTCTGCATGTGGCCAGCCAGCCAGTTCTTCATCCAGACAGCGGTCCATCCTCAAAACCACATCCCTCCAATTTAGAGACAAGGATGTTGTATAGGACAGTGTCAAACACTTTGCATTTGACACACTTTCCTTGGTCAGGTGGGATTTACATGAATAATGTAATAATTACTGCTGAAAAACACAGACACAAAGAATTTCCCTAAAGGTATAAACTGAAATCTGCCATGGGTACATTACTGGAAGATGCTATTTAGTATGTAATGGCTTAAAACAAACCTTAAAATTCCACAGCATTTACACACTTATGCCTCAAGATGATAACCATCCAAATTTGCCGAGCTACCGTATTTTTTAAATTAACTTATCTGTTTGTATCCAGTGCAATAGAGTGTGTCCCACTTCAGATGGAGTGTAGGTAGGTACTGAGAGTCCTTTATTCCATTAACACACAGGTAAATATGGAAACTCACAGTCTGAAGCTGTCTCTCCTCTCTCCAGAGCTGGCCTGGGATGCCAGGGAAGTTCTTCCTTCTCCTTGGCAGCTGGTACAGGACAGCCCTGCTTACCATGGGCTCTGCAGCAGGCACAGCAGAGTGAACTGAAGTACCTCCAAATGTTACCAAAAATGAAACCAATCCATGGCCAGAGTATCACTGGGGAAGCTCTGAGGTGTTATTGTGAACACCATGCTGCTTCCTCAAACCATGATACACAGGATGTGCCAGAACCAGTGCATGCACCAAGGTAATCCATTTACTTTATCTGAAATGCTTTGTCAAGAGAATCTAAAATTAATTGTCTTCAATAAATTAATTCTTTCTTGGATAGTCTGCACTGTAACCCTTCCCGTCTCTTAGAAGTGCTTTCAGCCTTTTCTTAACTCTTCTTGAGTTCCTCACTCAGTGGCACTTGATTGCAACAATATGAAATCAAATAGCAGGGACTGGTATTTCCTCTTCATTAATACCTGGTGTAATAAACCCTCAAATTTTTCAACTGCAGTTAAAAAGAATTTTGGACAAATTAGGACCCTTGAGAATAGAAATCCTGAGTAAGTGCTGCTAGAAGAGATTTGAAGTGAACAATATAGCACTGCCTTCATGTTGCAAGGCAACCTTCTTTGGCTAACATTTTTACAGTCTTAAACTGAGGCAGGGAAGAGAACCAAAGTGTAGCATTTGCAGTTACAAGCATTAATAAACTCCTGTAAGGAAAAGAACACTACTGGGATTTATAGAATTGAACAGCAGAAAGAATGTTCTTAGAGAAGATCTTTTGACCCAGTTTGGTAGACTTGCAGTTAGACTATTTTTTTAAACAACAGGGGAAATGAGGGCAATGACAGTGACAGCAGCAGGCCAGGTGCTGCTGGATGGTGTGCAAACCTCTGTCATGATGACTTGGATCACTTCTGGGAGTGCTTCCCTGACCTGAATGGGGGCTGGGGTGAGGACAGCTCAAGTGATGCCTGGCTGCGAGCGGAGCACCCCGGAACAGGAAACAGGCCCTGGCTTTTGCAGATCTCCAAACAAAAAGCACCATCCTACACCAGCAGCTCTGAAACCATGCACAAAACTGCAAGGACTGTGTATCTGATTTTTGTATCTGATGAAGCTTTGAATAAACACCTCACCAAATAACATATTCTCCAGATAGTAAGCGCTTCTAAGGCACAAAGTTATTCCCTCTGCAAGTGCTGAAGAGCAGATGGAAGGAAAAAGCACGTGCAATAGAGATGACCACTGCTAAGGTGTCTGAAATCACAGCCGTGATGCTGACATACAGAAAAGGAAGAGAAGATGATTTCAAACATGAGGTTTGAACCCTGACTCCTGGGAGATACATCCTGGTTCCCAAACTGCTCCAGCCAGCCAAAGTTTCTGCCCACACCATGTTGCTCACTTGGACAGTGTACAGGGGGTGCATCAATATGTGCTGAAGCAATGTAGAAAGCAACAGCCGCAGTGAGTGGCAGCTCCTCTCCCTGTGCCCTCCCCAGTCCTGCACGGGGTGTCAGCAAATGAACCAGCCCTACTCAGAAAAAGTCCCAGCAAACAATGGCTTCATGGATAAAGCGTAACACAAAGCTGCTTCATCAGAGTGACTCCATAATGCCCAGCCAGGGGATGCTGAATGAGTCCGAATGCTGAAGATCTGTTTACAGGACAGGATGCAAGAGCCAGAGAGGGCTGGCTGGTGAGTTACCTGTTGCTCTGAGAGCTGAAATGGCCTGTGGGATATTTAAGACAAGGGAGATCTTGCCTTTTTCCAGATACCTCATTTAGGCAGCAAAACAAAAAAGACAGAAAGGCCCAATAAGAATGACACCCCAGAGCATGCAGTCTGCAATTTAATACACACATCTGAGCTCCAAATACATTCAGCCCCTTCAAGAGGTAAATGAAAAAAGAAATTACTTTGAAAACTTCTGTTGCAGGTACAGTGACGCATATCCCAATATGACATTTTCACACATTGTCCTGAACTCAAACAAACGAGACTTTCCTACCCCTTGACATTTTCCCCATTCTCTATCTCACTCAAAGAGAGGCAAGAAACCAGGTACCTCAATGCAATGTCTGCTGCATGGCACAGATTAAAACCACATAAAAAAAATGTAAGTCCTAGATGCACAGGAGTAGGAAAAGGTTTGTTGCTAAAATGCCGAAAGGGGGAAGAGTATGCAGAGAACAACAAAACACAGGAGATGTTGTTTATTCAGGTATGAAATGCAGCTGTACTTACCAGAGAAATGACTTCAGATGCTACACACTTACTCCCTGAAACTGGAGAGCAGCATTTAATCAAACCATGAGAATGTGGTGGGGTCAAGGGGCCTATTTGTACACGAAAGGTGAATGAAGACAGCTTTTATTACTCATGATCACAAGTAACAAGTGCACTTGTTCTGCCTCTGAGAGGACAGAAGTTTCGCTGTAGGCAGAAGGTGCCTGACTGGTCATCCCCTTTAGGTGGGAAAGACTCGCTCCTTGATCTCCTCCAGATCATCTCCTGCCAGGGGTAGGGCAGAGAGGGTCACACTGCAGGCAGCTGTGCAATTTTTGTTCACCTCTACACCTGGACTGGGAGCAAAGCTCTCTTTTGCAGGAAGCTACAGAGGATAGTTTGACTGATATGAAGGCAAACATATGTGTAGGGGGCATGGCGCGTATCTGGAATCCCTCTACTGAAGCAGGTTTCCTTGAGATGAAAACTTAAAGGCAACAGCAATTGGATGGGCTTTTTCCCCCCTAATTTCTACTACAGTGATTTCTACTGCAGAAGGATACCAAGTCTTGTCTCACCAGAGCTGGCCAGTAAAATCTGCCTCTCTCTCTTTACTGATCCTGGTGTAATGTCATCACTCAAATAAATCCATAAAAAAATCACTCAGTATGGAAAGGTTTTAAAACTGAATCCCAGGAGCAAATGCTGCAATCATTGATCTGCACATTCCCACAGCAGTGTACAGAAAACACCCAATTTGTGTATTACAGACACATGTTTGCAGGCCTTGCCTCAGCACGAGGGGCTGTGTCAGCCTGTGCACATCAGCAGGCCTGGGAATACTCCTGGTGTTTGTGCACTCCAGAAAAAGACACACACGGGGTGTTAGCAGAATGCAAAGCAGCAAAGAACCTCTTGCCACTACAGACTTACTTTGGCAGAACAGCAGCCAGTGCATTCTGAGATGGCTCACAGTTTACTTTTTCCAGACAGAGAGCCACCCATTTCCCCATCAGTCACACATCATTGGGCATTCCAGGCAAAACCTGCAAATGCTACCAAACTTCCAGAATCTGCTTCCTGCTGATTTCTCATATACTGTCACATACACAAAGCCTTCAAAGTGCAACAACTGTTTCTCCTCCAACCCTGACAACTGGCCTCTGCTGACAGCAGCCCCTGCAGAGCCTGCCCTCAGGGCACGTTCTGGGCCTTTGCCCTCATTTCACCCAATTCCTACTTCATCTGTTATTAGTAAAAAACTCCAAATTTTAACTTCTAAAGAAACGAGGACATACAACAAAAAATGGTAGAAGTCATCATTTGGAAATAAATGTCATTAGCTGCTGCTCCTTTGTTAGCCAAAATAGTAAAACAGTTGAATAATGGTGTCTCCAGCAGGCTCAGGCCCAATTCATGTTCTCACTCCTGAGTCTTGAAAATGATCTCTGCAATTCCAAGTCAATAAAACTCCATTTATGAACAATGCAATTTTCTTTTTAAAACATTACATGGAAGCAGGGATTCAGTCCACTCCTCCCTTACTGGAAACAGGAGCAATAAGCACACAAATGGTGATGTTTCCAGCAGCAGTTTTTTACAAAAACCCTGCTGTTCTAACAACCTCTCAGGTGCAAGATGGAACAGAGCAGCCTGCTGGCAGCTGAGGCACATGCCTTAAGAGACCTGTCATGGAAATTCTCCCACTGATACCTAGAATTTTAGCTTCTTCATGTATTTGTAGCTTTGTAGGTTTCTAATATATAGTTTTACAGTTTCTAACACTTTCTTACTCTTTTTCACACTTTAAAACAATAGCTAACCCTTTTTAATGCATTATGTCACGCTCCTGAAATTTTGTTTAGTCTTAGTTTCAAGAAAATAATTTCCAACAAGGACATCTTGTTTTGCACCAGCATTTGTCAGTCAAAACAAGATACAGGGCAAAGAACCTCCTGGAGACACTCCAAGGGGCAGGCCCAAGGGTGGAACTATAGGATTTACCTGCTAGATATACTAATTAATTAACGTTATTAAAAATGTAGAAATCCTATAACACACATGCTCATACCTACATTTTCAGCACCTGAATGCTTTCATTAAAGAACTGCTCTTTATATTACCACTTTCATATTGTTTGGGAAGCTTTTCTTTTGATTCCAGGCAACACCACCTCTTGCCACCCTGCTGTCTCACAGCCACTGATGTGACCGAGCACACAGGTGGGTGGGCTCCTCATGCTGAGAAGGAGACTCTCAACAGATGCTCACTTGGCACTTACTATAACACAGTTACAGTATCTTCTTTTTTTTTCTTCCCAAAATGTGGATTAATAAATGAGAGAAACAGCTGTCAAGAAGCTGGCCCTATAACACAACCAGATGTGCAACTTACCAAAGACCAACTTACAGGTAAACACTGGTGTTTAACCACCTTTGGGAATAAAAAGCAGTGTGAGGAGCTCTTCTGCTTCCATCTGGCTCAGGCAGAAATAAATACCCATTTCAGAGCAGGCTGCACCTGCACTGCAGCTTCCTATGATCTACCCTGAAAGTTGTTGAGCTGTTGCAGTCCCTGACAACACAACTCATTGAGTGTGTGAGTGCAGACCCTGCCAGTTTCCAACATCCACTCACAGCCATTCTGGATACTGAAAAATACCCCACCACCAACGCCATCTAAGCATGCCCATGATGAATATACATGTCCTTTTTCACACATTCATGCATTGGTAACATCTACTGCAGAGCTCTGTCCTGTTACAAAAGCAGCAGTGTTAGTCATTGCAGTAGGGTTAGTTTATACAAGATTCTTTCATATAATTAATGGAGGTGAAACTTACTGGCATATCTCGGCCGCAGCCCCATGCAAGCAAGCAGAAAGCAAATATATTTAAAATGGAAGAGAGGAACTGGCTAGCAGGCAGCTACACTCACCCTTTTGTACAGCCTATGGTCCACCAGAGGGCTTCAGAGTGCAAAACAATACCAAAGAGCCATTAGACACACATGGCAACAACCATACCTTACCCAGAGCTTCACTTCAGGGAGGAGGAGACAGCACTTCTGCTTGCCTGGAGAGAAAGAACCCTTCCCACTCCTGCCTACGGGACTCCTCTTTACCAGGGAAGGACAGTCCTGTGTTTAGGTGTTTTAGGGCAGAAAGTTATAAGCAAGTAGAAAAAACCCAACACTGCCATCCCTGTGGCTTTTCTAGCTGCATCCTGCCTTCCCTGGCAGCAATCACCTCTTTTCTATCTCATTCCAAATGCTACTCCATAGAAAACACTGGAGACCATAATTCCATCTTAGCAATGGTCTAGATATCCCCCAGAAGAGTAAGTTTCCTACAAATCAGAGAAGGAATAGGAAATAGGTGGTTACCTTCCCAGTGCAAGCTGACTGTACCATACATGAATTCAGCTCAGCAAATCCAAACCCCTTTGGAGCTCCCGGATTTCCTTGCAGCTCTAGATGTGTCACATCTGGGGATCATTAAGTAGGTGGAGTCTTTCCAAAATCATTAACTAGGTATAGCTTTGGTTCTGCCTCAGGACAGCGAAGCAGCTCAGCTCACAGGGCTGTTAGGGGCAAGCTTTAGGCTGGAAACAAGCTGACAGGTTTGGGCACCGTGGGAAGATGGGTGAAGCTCTCCTGGGAGGCCAGGAAGTTTCTGTTTCTCATTCTCAACAAACAACACTTCCGTGACAGTTCATGTTGATATCGTGTTATGCTGATGCATGTTTTTCACCAGATTTTTGAGAATATGGCAATAGAATAATTTTGAGAATATGACAGATGGATAAATATGGGGGGGTATTGTTCAAAGTCAAAAGGAAACAGTACATGTCTGAGGATCAGAATGACTCCTGCTGATGAATGATCCCTTTTGTCTCCATGACACTCAGCTCCTAGAGCTTCACTATCTTCTCCAAGAGTATATTCAACTAAAACCTATGTATTTTCTGATTTTCATCAACATTTATATATCCACTACTGAGAGCTCCAACTGCAGAACTTCTCAATAACTTTCCCAAAACACCTGAAATACTTTCTGGTCAGGCAACAAACATTAAGTTCAGGAGATCAAAGGTGATCAAAATCACATATGAGATAATTAAGCCTTTGTGCCAAAAAGCTATTAGGCAAAACAGATGACCATTGAAGATGTTCTGAATGCAAGCAGTCAAAGAGTTCTCATAATTGGCTTAAAGTAGACTTTGATCAATTTTAAACAGGAAAAAGACCCTACCAAGCAGACATTTGCCAGGGGAAACCCTGAATAAATCTCACCTAAGGGCTACAGAATAAGCACTTAAGAGTAATTTTTTGGCTTAGCAACAGAATCTGCTCATGGACAAAAAACTAAGTTAAACCATTCAATGTTTCAAATGTTGAATTTCTGAACTTTAAGCATTTATGGCCTTCTCACTTAGCTCACTCTCCTTACCACAGACTGGAACTGGCTTTTGCAGCCTCTTCCCCCAGCTCTATCAACTGGCAGAAATCTGCTACGAGAACCTGTTTGTTTGACATTCCTGTGCATGCTCTTTTCTCACACTCCCTCAGATTTTCCAAAAATAGTTGTCATTTCTATCCCTTGCATTGACAAGGCACTGTGGTTTAAAAAGTGGCTTCAAAGTGACATTTTTATACTACATAGCATTAACTAATAATAGGTATTAGCTGTTATGGCTCACCCCTGCATGTTCATGAGCTTGACTGGCTGAAGTGTTTCTTTCTGGAGACTGGGGCTTTCTTAAATTCTTGTTTATTGCAGCAGCGTGCTCATTTTAACTAATACAAGAGGAGATTTCAACAAGCAGAAAGAGTGTGTGGGGCTCCTGGCCCAAGTACCAGTCCCATCCTCATCAGCTGTACCCTGTGTGAGTGTCACATGGGAAACTGAAGGGATATAATTAGGAGGCTTACACAGATGTGATCTGAAACTTACTTAGCATCCTAAGCTTTATTACTCTGTCCTTAGGAAGAGGTAAGCTAGAAAAGTCAAGCAGGGAGGAATAATGTCATTATTGAGACACAAAGTTCAGAAAGCTTGAGGAAGAGCAGGTGAGAAGGAAGCAATTCCACCTGGTACTCCAGTGTACCTGCACCACAAGGCAGCTAGGAAAGGGGGTTGCAGAGCCAGGTTGGGGGTGCTCTCACCAGGATACAGCTGTGCCAGGGGAAGTACAAGGGTCTGCCCCTCAGGACAGGGAGCAAAGAAGCAAACAGGTCAGTCTGAGTCAGCTGAGATGCTGAAGCAAGTGAAGCTCTGTTCTATTAAAGAGATGATCTGTGTAATTTCCAGTATTATATTTTCCTTTACAGTTGTTTACACAAGCTAAAGGCTTCTAATTTGTCTTCAAAATCCTGCATGGTAATAAAGTTCTAAGGACCTGATCTGCATGGTGTTTGTCACTGACTGCAGAGCAGAGGCACCAGATCCCTGTGTGGTTCCAGCAGCCAGAGGAGCCTGAGGGTCTGTGAGATGCTAAAGCAGTGTGAGCCCCAGAACACAGATGCAGCCCAAATGTAAAGAGCATGAAGTGTACACTCTGTTGGAAAATGCCTTCCTGCTTGCTAGAGATTTTTTAGCAAGCAGGAGGAAAATGGGGAATGAGACTCAAACCTCTCATGTTTCTTAACAGCTCTATAAATGTGGTAAATTTATGTATTTTTCAAGCAGATTCTGAATGCTGGTTATGTAATTTCAGTAAGTCTTGCTTTCACTTTTAGCATTTACAAATGCCACAATGCTCCTGGTTCAAATTTGTCAATTACTAATAATAGTTACATTAACTCGGTTTTAAACTCTAATGATTGCTTGGAGAAAATACGCAACCATAACCCTGTGATCATTTCTATTCTAGAAGGAAAAGCAAGGCAGTTTTGAAACATGGTTAACATCTTCAGTGGAGGCAAGTCACTTTCTCCTTTTGTTACATCCTAAGCAACCACAACCACTGACCAAGTGCCCGTGGACATGGGACAGGACTGCACTGCTGCAGAAATTCAAGCACTGTGCAATGTGCTGTGAGCCAGAGAGAGCCTAAAGACAGAGAGACTAAAGACAGTGAATCCCCCCTGCTCCTGAACTTCTGTTTGGAACTCCCCAAGAGCTAAACCCATCCCACAGGAATGCCCAGAGCAGTGACCATGCTGCTGGAGAGAGCAGACTGACCCTGGGTCTGCCTGCAAACTTCAGTGGTGCAAATGAGCAGGGTCTCTCTACAAAAGGAAGAGGAGACACTGAGAAAGAGGAAGGCAATGAGCTCAAATTAAGAACTGTTGGAATCATGGGAAATTTAAGTCCTGCAGACTCTGTGTTACTCAACAGCTGGAGTCTTAACTGAGCCCTGTTTGGAGTGCATGGCACATCCTGGGTGCTGGTGGGAACCCCAGGAATACAGCCAGACCAGAGGAATTCTCTGGGCTTGTGTCTGAGGTGGCTCTAAGAGCCTCTCAGGCTGACCCCAGAGATCCCATGGATGGAAATCTGGCACGTGGCTCCCCCAGGGACTGCATGGATCTCAAGCAGATCTGAGAGGATACAAAAGTTCTGAACCTCAAGAACATGCTGAACAACAAACACAATGAAACAACCCCTCTGGTCTCTTCCATATGCCCTTCTGAAAGTCAGAAGTCACTTGTGCTTCTTCATCAATGACTGTGGCTGTTTCAAGAGCACTTGGAATCAGCCTGGGAACTACAAAGCCCTCTTTCTTGTCCACACATGTTACTTCCCACTGAACCTGCAGGTAAGATGTAGTTCCATATTCCATAGCATGAGCCACACTGACCTCCTGCAAAGTGCAGCTTTGAAATCCTGCAATGAGGACTAAGTCCATTTCTAAATCAGGAGTCTATCATGTGCCTGTAAGAGCTCTCCTTGTTAAATGTCCCTGGACTGAACTAAACATGCTTCAAAATGCATTGGGTGTGACCAGCTCCTGAGTGGATGAAATGCATGGGTAGTGAGAATGGAGAGGGTAGAGTCAGAAACATCAGGATTCACCACTGTCTAGGCAAAGTCCCAGTTTGCAACTTGATCATACAGGGGATCCTTTCAGCTAAAAACCACAGCAAGCACCCTGCTGGCCACAGGGGAGCACTCTGGCAAGCCTGTGCTGTTCCCACACTGGCAGGAGCTGGCTCATCTTCATGTCTGTGGAGTGGCTGAGGTGAACTAACCTGTGCTGCTCTGCTGCCACATCCCACCTACCCACACTGAAGAGAACACACACTTGAGGAGAGCCAACCAAATGATTCTGTGACCAAACTAAAGGTATTTCCAGCACAAACCAGATGTCATCACTTTTTGCACTTTCCCACATACCATGAATGTTTTGGGCGGCACTCAGAAGCTGTAGCTATGATTTGACAAGCTTTTTTTCAGACTTCCTCAAGTCCAGCTTTTAAAGTCAAATGACCTGGGCCATTTTACATTATAAGCAATGGAGCTTATAACACAATTCTCTTTCAGCAACAAGTTAAAGATTTCATTTTTGACAGTGTATCTTGGAAACAGCTCAGCTTTGTTCTTTGATATCTGTAGTGAGCTGATTCTATTATATTTACACTGCACTCATTGCAGACACACTTGAATATTATCACACTGCTCTAAGGAAGGGCAGATACCAAAAGAGAGTGTCATACCTGTGGCGGCAGCGTCGTAAAAACCGCATAATCTTGCGAGCAGCTTGATCCTGCTTCTTGGTAAGCAGACTGCTTCTAAACACAAAAAACCCCAACACTGAAGTGTAGGCAAAACTGGGGAGAATACTACTAAATGCAAGAATAATTATCCTATCAACCACAGTCCTTTTCCCACTGGCCTTTGTCTGTGGAGCACAGCACAGCCTCCAAGAGCACAAAAACAATATATAAAGATCCCAATAGCATCAGCAGCCCCGGAGCTCACCTGAGTTTCTGTTGTACGATGGTGGCTGCCCGACGGTTTTGCCTCCTCTTGCCACACTCTTTGTAGCTGCGATAGTACTGCTGGATCAGCATCGCGGCTCGTCGGCTCTGCTGGAATTTTTTCTGCTCATAGTAACTTCGGAATTTGCTCTGGATAAGAATGGCAGCTTGCGTCATCTTTTTATAAAGTGCATACTACAACAGAAACAAAGAGAAGCTGAGGCATCCCAATAAGACCAGGAAGAAGCAGGTTCCTACAGTGAAAGACTCTTGAGCCACTACGACGTGATGAGAAGTAAAGGAGTATCTATGCCCTGACTGAGAATTGTGTAAGAAAATGGTGACAGCAAACTGGAACAACTGTGAGATTAGGGGCAGAACCTGGTCTGCGTTAAGAAATCAACTACCTGCTTTTCTGCCTGTGGAATCGTCTGACTGGACTAATGGAATCATAGAATAGTTTGCACTGGGAGGAATCTTTAAAGACCATCTAGTCCAACCCCCCAAAATGAACAGGGATATCTTCAAGGAGATCAGGTCGCTCAGAGCCCCATCCAGCCTGTTATTGAATGTTTCCAGGGATGGGGCATCTGCCACATCTCTGGGCAATCTGTGCCAGTGACTCACCAGCCTCATTGTAAAAATTTTCTTCCTTATATCTAATCTGAACCTATCCTCTTTTAATTTGAAATCATTACCACTTATCCTATTGCAACAAATGTCTGTCCCCATCTTTCTGAAAAACCAAATAACCCCAACAAACCCCCAAAACCACAAGTAAGTCTAATACTGAGCCTAAGACATAGGCAAAACTAAATCTCATTAGAAATCCGTAATAGGCATCCAATGAACTCACAAATTTGCAGGAACAGTCACACACTTCCCAAATGCCACCTAGCACTGTATTATTTCTAACCCTATAATTCAAGTAAAGGAGGCACAAACTCTTAAAGAGAAAATCTTTATTATACATCCTTTTCCTCTGACAGCATGTGAGGTAATGACCACTTAACAGAAACCATGTGCATTCAATGCATATTTTTAAGTCCTAAGATGGAAATGTAGAATAATGTATAGAAGTTGCACACATACTGCTATAACAGAGGTTTTCAGTTTTGATGATCTTGTTTTGGTAAGTTTTAATACTTTCTGAAAACTGATGTGTCTATTGTTCCTGGATATTTTAACAGCTTTGACTTCTGCTCACTTTACCAGACAGATGAGTAGCAGGTACAGGGTAATGTCCTAACAGATCTCAGTACCTCGATATTTTCCGTTCTACCGGGACCAAAAACCCCAAAACCAAACAAACAACCCTCCCAACATAACCCCAAAGCAAAAAAAATGTCCAATGTCATCACAAACCACCATTTACCAAGTTTCACTTTTTGGAATTGAAGCAGTCATTAGGAACAGTTATAGTTTGCCATTATTAATTCCTACTGGGTTTTTTGTTTCCTTCCTTTTTAACATTTTTTAATTAAAGGATCAGATTTTAAATTCACTGATTTAAGTAAGTCATGGGCTGGTAATGGTTTTCCTTCTTAGTTTTATCCCAGATGGGACTTCTGTGGCTGAGTTACAAACCCTTGAACAGAAGGGTTCAAATACAGAACCATGCCTTGAGCTGTGACTGTTCCAATCCAGTCACAAACCTGTGCTGAGCAGTGCAGTAACTGATCAGAGGAATAAGGCACACAAAAGAGAAATTAGCAGTCACTGCATAGACCAGACCCCAATATGTTTGCATGCAATTCTAAGACCTGAGTAGCTTTGCCCTGTCCTCCTCTTGGTTCCCTTCCTCTTTCTGGGAAGGGGATCAATGGTGATGTCACCTAAACTCCTAATCTAAACCAAAGATGAAAGCTTTGGTGAGCTCAGTATCCCAGAGCTCAAGCCACTGGTGCTGACAGAACAGACCTCAGCCTGCCACAAAACCACAGGGGAGGGGGAAGATGTGCATGGAATATCACCCAAGGACAAATTCTCTGCAGGAAAAGCACACCTTGCCTGCTGGTAGCTCTGGGAAAAGCTCAGTTGATCCTAGAATCTAACAAGATCAAGATATTGCACAGCTGGGAAACCCATCTTTACAGCCGAGAATTACTAGTTAACAGTTTAAGACTGGCATCAATAGTTGTGCCTCCAGCATGAGCAGCAATATACTGAGATGTTGGTCTCAGGAATTCACACAGGTATTTCAAAAAGGATATAATACTTCAGCAGACAAGCAGAATGCAGAGGACATTGGCTCACAGGTGGGATAAATGTTCTGTGCTCCCCAAATGCCAAGGCAAAGGTCACCAAGTGACAGCTGACCAGGAGCACTAAAGGAAAGCCTCTCCTCTGGAAACTGGCTGCAAAACCCTTGCAGCAGTTCAGCCCATCCCTGCTCATGGGAGCTGATCCAACTGTGGCACAGCAGTCCCTACACAACTCCCAGAAAGTCTGGTTTGCCAGTGATTTCTCAACAGGCATTTAGAGTGGATGCTATTAAAAGGTTTTTCCAAAATGCCAGGTTCTCCTGGTTTATACTGAGTGTGAAAGTTAGTGACCCACGGGGAACTGTTTCCAAAATAGTGTTTGTATTTGTATTACCTTCAAGGCTATCCAAGTAAGCTTGGGGAGAAACAGAAAAATACAGTTAATGTTAGTTAGTTCTGGCAAATAAAGAACTAAAAGAAAAAACAAAACAGAAAGATTCAACCAATCTTCTTTCAAAAAGAAGCGATTCCAAGATCCAAAATAAAGCAATTTGCCAAGCAGTTTTTGAAAGGAATTAAGCTTCCCTACTACAGGAAGCATCATTCTAGAATGAAAGCCATGTGATGCGTTGGATGTGAACCACAATGCAGTCACCTAAAACTAGAAAGACTTCCCAAATACATGTTTTTGAGGGATGCAAAAGAGCACAGGTGCCTTGCCTCACTTTCTGTTAACAAGCTGCCAGGCATTAGACAGACTGTGTCTTGCAGGGTAGAGTGCAAAGAGGGATGTGGGCTCTAGTCCTCACCAAAAACACCAAACCAAACAACAACAACAACAAAGCCAACCAAAAAGGAAAAGTATCTTCGTTTTCTAGGGTTGAGAACTCGGTCTGAAAACATGTCTCCAACCAGAGTCTGGAGAACAGTCTCAGTCCTGGAAAAACTTGTGCCAAGCTATAACATGTGACTTCCCATCATATAAAAATTTAGTATGTGCAAAATAAAACAACCTATTTTTCATCTTCACCTTTATCAAAGGCAAAACCAACTTCAGTTTCACAATGAAATTTGGCAAGCAACTAGTCAGAGAACAGTCTCCTCAGGCTGTAGCATGCATAAAGGCCAATATGGAATACATCACAGCTCTCCATCTCACAGCAAAAACACAGGCATTATCACAAACAAATTTCAAGGATTCCCTCCAAAACTAAGATTCAGAACACAAATCTTCTTCCCTTTTCCATTTTTCCTGAGCAAGGTATTCCATTACTGCACGCTGAAAAGCACACAAGAGGAACAGTGGGACAATGCCCACTACAACGGGGTGTGTTTGTGGCGCTCACACGTGTTTCACAAAATTTCACTTTCTTGATTACCTGTTTGTACTTTCGGTAGCAACGCTGAATAACAGCAGCAGCCACCTCCTGCTGTTCCCGGAGAGGACGACCCTGTGTGGAGAAAGAAAGGAGCAGCATCAGCCAGAGTGCACCAAAACCCAGGACAGGTGATGTGGCTCAGCTGCTGGCAGGGCAAACATCTTCTTTCAATGCTACCTGGTCCAACCTGGCCCTAGGCATCTCCTGGAGAAATCTCTGCTGTCAACTCACATAAGGAACAAACATCATCTTTAAACCAAATGGGCAACTAAAAGCAGAACCTCTGGGCTACATTTTGAGGATGTGCTTTGTGAGTGCTGCTCTGACACAGCAGATGTGCCAAGGCATGGCATGCACTCCCCATACAGCACTTGTTGGGTAAACATCAACAAGCAAATGCCAGAAGCACTGAAAAGGTTATGAAAGAAATTGTATTTTTGTCCCCGGAGTGGATATTACCCACATTTTGGTTTGTAACAAATTGCACTCTCTTACACAACCATCAAGGAAGACACTGGACACTTGGGCCACATACCTTGTATTTCCTGAATACTGTCTGGACGAGTTTGGCAGCTTCATAGAGTTCTCTCTGCTCATGATCAGACAGAGTTAACTGTGCAAACTCATTTTCTACCTTCTCGCTGGTGGATGCACTCAGAAATTCAGACCAGTCTGCTGCCGAGGGAAGGCTGGGTTTCTCAAAAGCTATTTCACTGATTGGTGAGCCTGCAGGGCTCAAGCTGGTGTTCGAAGAAGGGGTCAGGGGTTCACTATACAGACTTCTGAAATACCAATCACAGTAGGAATTAATGGCTTACAAAGAACTTGGGCTGGCATCACAGATAAGGACAACAACATTTCTGAGTTCAAGACAGAAGTTTATGTTCCCCTCCCTCTCTCCAAGCAACATCCCCTGAGCCTGCCTGTCCTGCACTGCACAGATGTGGTGCTGGAGTGAAACCCCCATTCCATGAATTTGTAGCTGTGCTGGCAACAATACATCTGAGCACAAGAGTGTGCCTGGGCCAGCAAGACCAGAACTGAGTCTCACTGAGAACTGGCTCCTGCAGGCTGAAGAGTCAGAACATGCAGCCCAGCACACACACCACACTGAAACCCAGAGCAACCTCACAGCACTCACTGACCTGATCTGTGCAGCACTGGGCAAGTGATCAACATCAGCAAGGTAACTGGCCAGCCAGCTCATGGTGGTGCTCATGGCAGCACTGTCCGTCCTCTCCACCAGCAGCGATTCCATTGGCACAAAATTCTCCCGCTTGATCCTGTCAGGCGTAGCTTCAATAATGTGCTCTGCAAGTGTCATCATGTTCACCTGTCAAGGAGGAAAGAACAGCAAACTTTAGCTCCCTGGTAGAAGGTGCCTTGTGCTTACAGCCCAGCTTGAGACAGAATTCTTCATTTTGCCCAAACCTGTGGAAGCTGAAGTGCACTGTTTGTCTCAGCAGTGGAGAGAAATCCATTAGCCAGTGCTTATTTGCTTTTCTGCCTCTTCAGACCAAGCACTGCAGGGTTTCATATTCCCCAGACTTCTTTTTTTCCTTTATGGGGAGTCAAGAGATCTGCTGCAAGGTCTCTGGGCTCTCCCTCTACAGCTGACACTATTATGTTATTTCCAAAGGAAAACTGACTTTGCTGCTCTTTTGCTGAGATGTGCAGTAGAACACAACAGGACAATAAAGGCAGCTCAAAAGAAGTTAAACTTGGGACAAAACATTGCCAGGAATCCTGAATGACATCCCTCAGCTCAGCAAGTTACACAGGATTTTTCAACTCAGAGAACAGAAAACTGTTCTTGTTTTGCAATGTTCTGCTTAACTCATGTTACACCAGCCAGAGGAGAACATTCAGAGATGCCAAGGTAGAACAGGTAAGGCTGTGTTAGCATTACCCATTTGCTCAGAGAACAACAGTATCTTTCTCCCAGTGACTACTTCTCATACGTCTCTCCTGCTTCTGTTGTATTTTTATTTCCTCTCTTCCATGCCTAGTAGGATTCTTCCTTCTCAAACCCACTGTCTCTTCCATTCTCCACTCTTCCCTCCTTCCCTCTGAAGTGAAGATGCCTGGCCTCTAATCATAGCACTACCTCTGTCACATCTTGTCTTTGTAGGGACTGCTGCACAGTTCCCACAGGACTGTTGGGCCACCTGAGTGACATGCACTTCTGTGATCAGGCTTTGCTCCTTCCTTTTTCCTCGCACAACTGCAATTTTGTGCATTCTGTACACTGTTGAAGTGTATGCCAGTGTAGAACCCTAAATGCTGACTATTAGACTTTATGTCTGTGTTGAAATTGGAAGAAAGTATACACTGGCTGTGTGACCACCTCCTTCCTCAAAGCACACTTCAGTCTCTAGAGGCCTCCATAGGAGTTTCTCATGGTCAGGATCCTCCATGCTCTATGAGACTGCTGATCTTGGTGCTGTGGGTGCGTTTACCTGCAGTTCATCCATGTGGTGTAAACAGTCCTCATCCCCTGCGTTGTCCCTGTAGGACAAGAGTTCTGCATCCACCATCTCCCTGTCGGCCATCATCAACACATTCATCTGCTCCCGCTGGCGCAGCCGATGGGCCACAGCATCCTTCCCCAGGGCAGTGCCCTTCTGGCTCCCTGCCACCTGCACTGCAGACACACCAATATAAATGTCCTTTGCGTTCCATTTGATGCCTGCTTGGCTGCCGGAGCCCCGGTACCCAGTAACTTCTGGGATGTGCTGGGAGAGCTCCCGGCCATAGTCCCTCAGCCCTTCACTGGGGCTGATTGTCTCAGTGGAGGATTGCTTGGAGCTGGAGTTCTGCTTCCTAATGCTTGGCTGTTCCAGGCTCAGTGCAGTGGAAAGCAGCTTTTCTTGCCGGGCTTGAAAATACTCAGGGCTCAGCTTATGCTTTTTGGGTGCAGGGTAATCTTTCTGAGTCTCACTGCTGTAATAGCTGGAAGGTTCTGACCTTGGCCGCCTCAGCTCTGTAAACAAACAGATCAATGGTCAAAACTAAACATGCAACTCATGACTACTGTAGGAACATCAACAGCTTCTGTCTCAGGCCAAAGTTTGCACTGTGCTCTATGGGCACCTGAGAGGATGTGCAATGGGAGTAACAACCACCCAGGGAGGATACTGTCTCAACCACTCTTAAGATACACAAGTCTTTCCAAAGCAGATATTCACTCCTCTTCCTGATGCTTATGCAAGTGTATGGAGCACAAGAAAAGAATTAAGCATGGACAGCAAGACTACCAGGTGGCACCTTCTGCCCAAGTCAGCTCCTTGTCCCCACATTTTCACATGTTAAATGTCAGCAAAACAGAGCATGCCCTCCAGGATGTTTTACCTGTGTTTGTACTGGAAATCACTGTGACTCCCTTCTGAGGCTCCTGAGAAGCAACAAGCTCACTGTGCCATTGGGACACCCAATTCTCTGTGTTGGAGTCTGTGCTCGAGGGGCACTGAATCCTGGGGTTTTGCCCAAGCTGAGTTTGCTCATCTCGCTGTAGCTGCTCCAAGCACTCTGCCAACTTCACGTGGCCCCGAGACCGAGCAATGGCCAGCGGCAGTCTCCCGAGCGAGTCAGGAATGGAGATGGCTCGGCGGTCCCACTTGTACAGCACAACAGCTGCGTCCATGTGGCCCAGGGCACATGCCCACATCTAAAGAAGAAAAGGTAACTGACCCACTGGGAGACCTGCCTTCTCCTTTCTTATTAATGCAGTGGAGGTCTGGTCCCAGCTCAAGGAAAAAACTGTTCTGACAAACAAACCATGACATGCTCAAAGCCAGCAGATTACATTTATAAATGTCCCAACCTAACAAAAGGCCAATGTAGAGGGCTGAATACATGCTATTTTCTCCTACAACAGAGAAACCTCCAACTGACAAATAAAGCTGACTAAACTAAAAAAAAGTTTGTTTTCTTTTATTTTGGGCTTTTTTTGTGACATTAACATCACTGCAGAGACAGAACAGCTTCAAACACAAAGGAATCTCTGAGGTCAGAAGCATGCACATAGGACCAAAGGTTGGGAACAATAAAATCACTATTCTTGAGTTGTAAAGTGGCAGTCCTGGCTTTTTGTTTAAGTTCTGAGTCATGGTTTCATGACTCCAGTGACCAACCTAAGTTTGTAACTTTACAACCTCTACAGTCAAACAGTCACAGAGGACAATGTGAAAGAAGGTATGTAAAGTCATTTCCACACCATGATAGTGGAGACTAGATTCTGCGTAAAACAGTAACCAGAACCATGTGTCTGTCCCCCTTCCTCATGTTTCTCCATGGCAAAGTTTTGTTCTGTGTGCTCTTTCTCAACAAAATGCCAGGAAGCTGATAGCACCATGTCTTACCACGTAGGCAGCAGGAACACACAGGAACATCTACTCTCCATAGAGAAACACTTTAGGAAAGTAACACAAAAGAAAGAACTCCCCCAAAGGGCCCTCAAACTCTCTCAGAAGTTTCAGACCCTGCTCTTACCAGAGGAGTGCAGGAGAAATGATCCACATTCAAAGGGTCAACTTCCAGCTCCAGATCAATGCTGTCTGCATGTTTGGTGCTGCAGGGGAAACAAGAGAAGGAATGATGCTCTGTAGCCATGTCAGGATCATTGTCTATGCACGGATTTATCCCAAGTGCTGTACCACAGAGCAGAGGTCACACACATGCCCACAACATGTTTATTTACTACCCACAGTGCCCCCACCACAGACATGAAGAGCATGATACATCCATGACTGGACTCAAGAGACAGGTCCCATCAGATCAGGGGATGGGAACAAATTCAGGCCCTTGGCTCTTTGTACAAGACAACCAGAAATGTGGACTGAGCAGAGTTCATATATGCTCCTGCCATGCCTGTACTGACACCCCAGAGTCCAGCAGGCTGGGTCTTACCGCCATTTGATGAGGGTCTGGATGAGAGTAGCATAGCCCTGGGCAGCGGCTAGATGGAGCAGTGTCATTCCTCGGAAAGTCTTTGAATGGATCAAGTGTTTGGACTTCGCCCAGCACGCACGACTCATCATCTTCTCGCACACCACCACCACGCGGCTCTCAAAGCAGCTGCCCAGGGTCCCAGTCCCAGAAACACACTGAAACACCACACACATCCCAGTTTAACCAGGGAGAGGAGCTGCAGCTTGCCCTGAACAGGCAGCCTTCCACTTCTACAAGTACTGAAACAGTGGCAAATGGAACTGGAAAACAGCTACGGTTAGACACCCACAAACTAGACTTGTTACTTAGGACAAACTATAACCCTTTTCAAACCCTATCCCCCAAAAAAACCTCTGGTAAGAAAGCACAAAGCTGTGTCTGGATACAGAAGGGTTCATACCTGCACCTGTGTTCCACTGTTCCCATTCCCATTGCTCCCGCCTCCTACTCCTTGTTTGTGTTGCTGGGAGCCTGTCATTTCAGCCATTCTCCTCTCCATCTGCTCAAGTCGCTCCAATATGGACATCCTGAACTGGTTATCTAGGTTGGAGAAAGCCAGAGTAAGGACATTTCCATGGAAAGGAAGCTCAAGTTTTGACAGCCAACTAACTACAGGAAGTCACAAACAGCTATCCTGGAAGTGATAGAGATTTGCTCTACTTGCAAATGCACACCACACACTTGCCCTGCAGTATCCTAGCTCTTTAACTTCCTGCAGCAACCCTTTGACTACAATTCCAGAAAATTCCAGAGAACTTCCTTACAGAATACAGACAGAAAAATGAAAAATGCAGGCAGATGACAAATCCCTTTCCTTGTGAGTCCGGCTGTACGCACACAATACTAGGGGTAATGTAAAGTCTTTCAAAACACAAACTCTAAGCAAATATACCCATTCAGAGAGCATTCCAGTAGGATCACATCTGCCATTTTAGAGTCACCCCCTACTTTACAAGAATCCTAAAATCGCCTTCACTTGCCGCCTGGAATCATGCAATAATGTACCTGGAAGAAAAGGACTCCTCTGCTGCCTTCTGTGCTTAGGAAAAGAAGCCTTTATCAGGGCACTTGCTCCTTCTCTGACAGGCTCCCTTTCTTGGAAAACAGCTTCAGCCAAGTGCCAGAAACAGAACTTCCAGAAATTGGTGTATGGGCATGGACAATCCTGTAACACCACCCTGGAAAGCCGTGCAGCTCTGGTCCCTGCAGAAGTCTCAGGGCTGTGTTACTGATTTTTCCCTCACTGCATTTTAACATAACACTATCCTACAGCTACTAAGGCCTGGATGGCAGAGCAGGGAGGTTCAGACAGATCACTGCTGAACCTGATGCAGTAGCGATCAACTGAGCAATGTTTCTCTGGACAGGGCCAGTCAGTGCAAATGCAGATCTCCTTCTGTCTTGTTGACCCATAAGGGATAAGTTTCATGCAGCTCATGTGAAGCTGGATTGGGATGGGTGGATAGGGAACATTTAATGAATCTTGGTACTATGCTAAGAGCATAGGTAGTGAACAGTAAGGGAGTGACAGCCCTAATATTGTTCAGTTTCTTGCATCCATAGAGAGGGTGTGATGCTTCAGAACATTTATAAACCCAGAACCAAGCCCACTGACAGCAAAAGGAGTATGTGCACCAAAATAGACAAGCTCTGATGAAGTTTTAAACATGACAGTCTTCTCCAGGAAGAACACAGAGCCCTCCCTGGAAGGCTGTAGTACTCACATGCTACACTCCAAGGCACAGCTCTTACTAGAGAGTATTGGAGAGATGTGGATCTCTCCTGTACTGCACTAAGGACCATACTGCAGACCACTGCTAAGACACAGCTCAGGTCCACTGGCTGGAGACATCCCCTTCTCACCAAGAGGCTGCTGTGGTCTGACCACAGGCAAGAGCTCCACTCCCTTCTGGCCACCTTCAGCATCCCACTCTGGCTGCTCAAGAGCCAGGCACAAAGGACTGTGGCCAGCACCTCCCATCTAACCTCATGTCAGAGGTGAGCTCACTAGTCCAAAAGACTTATTATTAGTGCCTTTCTAATCCTTCAGCTGCCCTGTTAATTGCAAAGCCCCTGGGAAAGGACTGGCAGCTGTATCACAAAACACTCATGGCGCTGATGCCGCGGCAGGGCCCTGTCCCCCAGCTGCGCTAGCACACGGCAGCAACACAAGCCCGGTTTGCCCAGCGAATCTTTGTTCCAGGAGTGCTGCAGTGTGCTGCAGTGCAGTCCACACCGCTGTCTCCTCCCTCCCCATTGCCAGGCGGAGCACGTCCACTGCAGAGACTGGCAGAGCCCTGGCCCCGCTGAGCCATCCCCTCCCGGCCGTGCAAACACAGCTGCGACAGCTCGGGCACCTGGAAAAGCCGCCACGCTTGCCCTGCAGGAACGGCTCTGTTCCACACAGGTAATGCCACTCTCCCTTAGCTGGGCACCAGCACTCGCATTTATTAGAGCTGAGAGCAGCAAACCATACTGGGTATCACATCTGAGCCCATCCTTGCACAGGCAGGAGCAGCATCTTTTAAAAAGAAATGTGGCTTGAACTGGAGCAATAAACCAGTAAAGCTCAGGGCTGCAAGATTCTGGGATTTGCTCCTACTCATTTAGGGGTCAAGAGAGAATACTTCTGTACATCTGGAACCAAAAGGAGAAAATTCCAGTGAAATGCAGAAGTACATATTACTGTTTTCCCCCCTTTTTTCCTTCAATCTGAAACCACTCTGGAACAGAAATGGAGGGCCCTATGTTTGTAACTATTTCCCAGGCTCTTCTCTCTGGGCTTTATGATCTGTACTGAGTGAAGCCTCCACCTTTCCTGATCCCAAGCAAAATATACTGAGAATTTCCTGTAATTTTTTTGTCAGAAGACTGAAGTTACCGAAGATACACCTGTCACTCACCAACGTCCCCAGACAGAAACACTAAACCAAAGAAATGAAAGGTGGGAATTTTTCTCAAGAAGCAGAATTCAAAACAGCATCTGATGCTCCCAGGTATTCCTATTCAGACACCCTGGCAGTGCTCCTGGAAAATACTAAGGACAGGACTTCTATTTTAGAAATATGCTGCTATTGGTGAAATAGGAAGTACAAACATTCTGGAGCACCAGCACAGCATGGCCAGAGCCAGAGCCCTCTCTGTGTCTAGAAGAGACCACCAGAATTTACCCAGAGCAGGGTGTGCCCCCAAATGAGAAAGCTGCAGGCAGCAAATGAGGTAAGTGGGGCAGCAGTGCAGGGAAGGTGCCCCCATGCTGCCCGTTTTCCAGGTGACCAAACTTGCTGCCTAAGCAAGCCACAACTGATGACAATTCCAGAATTATTTATATATAGTGTTTTCATTATTCTGTAATACCAATTACACCAAGATGTCCCTTTCAAAAGGAACTGGTCACTTGAAGTACATGCACTAGTCTGCCAAAGAAACCCCAACAAAATAACAGCAACAACAAACCTACTATAAAAAACCCAGACAAAGAAAAAACCCCAAACCAAACCACAAAAAAGAAAAAAGGGGTGGGGGGGAGGGGGCAGGGAGGGAGTGGGAGAGTGAACACCTTCCTCCAAGGTTTCTCCTGAACTCAGCCATGAGGCAAAACTCTCCTCTCCCACCCCAGCCCTGAACATGCACCACATTAGCAGCACTTTGGACCATGTCCAGCTGCTCCACTCACTGCTGATGAGCAAACAGATGTACCTTGCAATACCTGAGAGAAGGGCTACAAGAGCCACAGGGCTGAAAGTTACAGCTGTCTCTCTGAGGAACTCAAGACCTTTTATCCTGTTATTTCTCATTTTTCTAGTCACAATCTTTTCTCTCTTGATCACTTCAGGGGTCTCTGCAGGGCCAGCTGCTTAACAGGCACTGAAGTTACAGGAAAAATTTCCACATTCTTGTCTTCCTCTTGCCAGAAGAGGATCTCATGACAAGCAAATCTCTTGCAGTGCACTGAAGATGACAGCTCAACAACATAAAAATCACTGTCCAAATAAGCTTTTCTCCTGCTACATTGTACAGGAATTTTAAACAGCCCAAGCCTAAGGAAACATCTTGCACTGGAAGCACCCTCACTCTGTCCAAAGGCAACAAATATCCACATGGATACAAACATGTTCACATACTTAAGGTTTTGCCCAAAAATTCTGCTTTTGATGATAGAATACCTTTCTGCAAGCTAAAAAGTTAGGCATGCAAATTTGTGCATTTACTGAGTTTTTCCATTACATATCAATCTAAGAAATGTTTTCATGTTCTTCAGGAAACGACAGAGACAGTTTCTGAAGGTTTTCTGTTCTTCAAGTTTCCTCCACTAAAGGTGAAGAAAATAACCACATTTCTGTATCTCTAGGATATAGAATAATTTCACAGAAAATATTCTAAACACTGTCTCTTTCCATGGACATTATTCTACAAATTTAACAATATCAATGTAACACCAAAATTACTTCTCACTATCTTTCCCCTAGCATAACAAGGAGAGGTGGTGGCAACCTGAGGGGAGCTGAACTGTCCCAGCAGGGAGGGACTGAGAGCAGCAGCCTGGTCAGATTTTCACCAGTAGTAAGCAATTGGTTTGAGTTTGCTACTCATTTCCCTAAAACACAAACCATCTTTTAAGTGCAGAACAAGCTTCATTTTCATCTGCATTGTGAAAGAGCCTACTACTGATCACAGTAATGACAGCAGGTTCCTCACTGATCATATCTAAAGATGCAGAACAATTCTGGTACAAATCCTCCAAGAATAGGTGGCTGTTTACATCAGCTACCGTCTTAGAGTTACAGCCTGCATGCTTACACAGCTACACCCAGACAACTTGGATATTGCTTAATGTTACTTTATTTTTTTTTCAGGGTTGGTTTAATCGAATGGTGTTTTCTTAACCCAGATCCCTTCACAATTTATTTAAAGCACACCTGTATCAAGAGGTCAATAAGCCACCACAGCAGGCATAGAGAGAGTGGAAAATACAGGGAGCAGGGGAGTTAGTTTCATCTCCAGGATCCTGAAAGCCACACCTCCATTTTCTCACTCAGTGTTCTCCAATAAACACTGAATTTCCTCAGTAAGAATCTGAACAGATGCCAGCCATTTACGTGACACAAGTTTTCACTGGAGGCTGCAGAAGCACGTGCCTTGTGCAGCCTGGTAACAGCTCCTGACTGCACAGACCCTGCATTGACAGGGGAGCTAAATTACACTCGCACTTGCAAACACCTCACCCACACCCCAACAGCCCCTTCTCTGCACAGCCCTCCCCACTGCCTAACCCGAAGCCTCTTCCAACAGCAGGATTTCTGGTTTTGAGCTGTGCACACCGTGTTCCCCATGGGCAGGCACAGCTCAGAGCATTGCCTCTGCCCACACTTTATTACAACAGGTAGTAAAGGCACACCTTCATCAAACATCAGTTCTGCACTTCCTTTGTGTGGTACCCAAAACACCACCATGGCCCAGGGTGCAGAGCTAAGGGAACAGCAAGGCACGGCAGTAAGTGACAAGCCCTCCTCTGCTTAACAGGCCAATTTTAAGAAATG